CTCTCAACGACCGCACGCCGATTACAAACGCGTTTTATAAATAATAATAATAATAGTAATAATGTTATGCTCGCGCACACAGGTGTACCTAAAGAGTATGAAGAGGTGCTGTTGTTCTTTAATGTGACGGGCAATCCAAAAACGCGATACGGCCAAGTGGAAGACGAGTTCGTGTTGAAATAAAAAAAAAGCGCTTTGCGTTAGCCATGCATTATAATAGTATATACCTGTAATACTTGTATATACTTGAGATTAAACGGACACTTAACATTTTATATATTAATTATAAATAGACCCCATACCTACTACCAACGTGTATAATATGAGATTGTATCGACGCAGTTGTGTCAATTAAAATCGAGCACGACGAGGCACGCAGCGTTTAATACTACATGCTTGAATAAATAGACGACACCGGGAATATAAGGGTATTTCTTGGCGCGGTACGCATTCGCTCCTAATTTAATTTAAAAAAACAAAAAAGATTAATTAAGACGAACAATACCAATAATAATGCGTTGGTATGTTTCGATTTCATTTTCTTGCTAGTAAATATATTAGTATGATATTGTTTATTAGAACTGCAATTAGGTTTGGCATATATTAACTGTGCGATGATTTGGTTGAATAATTACACAAAAGTGAAAACAAACACGTTTTGATCAAGTACATTAAATTCTGTTCGAACACATCATTAGTATTAATATTGCTGCGTCCTATTAACGACTGCGATACTTGTCGTTAAAAAATATTATAATATAGTTATTGTATCGTCATAAATGTACACCAAAGAGGAGAATTAATCGCAAGGAAAACCAGCGCGTGGGTAGCAATAATAAATAATAAGTGGTAACTCTGTTTGATATAAATTATTTTATTGTAGCGATTTATTACTATTTTAATTAATCGAAAACTGACCTAAACTCGATTCATGTGGAACGAGACCCAGAAGTTTAATTAAAAATATAATAAATCTCAAATATATTTGAGATTTGACAACAGTAGTCCTCATTATAATTAATGAGTCTACTACATTTATTTAAAATTACAATAATAATTTTTAAAATGATGTTTAAAAAAAAAAAAAATGTTACATACAAACTATCAAATTATTTTTTTAATGATATTTTATGAACCAACTTATAAATGAATACACTAGTACACGCGGTATTGAACAAAACTGTATAGCATTGCTATTAGCATAAGTGACCAAATTATTTTCTAAGCATCGCCGAGTCTTAACACATTTTTACAATACTTGGCAAAACAGAGTATATATACCTATATATTTATGAAAGTGTGTCATTATATAGTCAAAAGCTTCGAATTTTGAGGAAGGAGCTGTGTTCGGAATAATGTGTAATTAACTGCATAATATTATACAGGGTCATATTTTAATGACGCGCAATTCTCGTGTTATGGCGAAATTTCTGGTCTATACGATTATAATTGTACACTGCCGGATGATAAAAAATAATATATTATCAATGGATACCCAGGAACGTTGCCAGGCGCGTGCAGTACACATTTCTATGCACATGACGTGCATACAGTGCATCCTTGCAACGTGTATCTGGATCGACGTGCGCGGTAAGTGCATTTCCATGTTATATACAAACATACAGGCGTATAGGGTGGGTGATTATTATTAGACACCAACCTTCTTGACGTGCCCCGGTTTGGTATCTTATGCATGTAAGTCTCCACGAACTTAATACTGACAAATATTTATCCAGCTTTCTCGGCATCTTGAAATATTGAGTTTCTTATCAGCAGAGTACCTGCTACAAAACAGGTGGACGGCTGTGCGGATTTAGATTAGGTACATCCGTATTTTTTATTACTTATAAGTTACTCTAAGTATAATCAAATATATTCTGTATCAGGAAAAATTGTATAAACAGCTAATTTAATAAAAATTATTTTATGGCGTTGCTAAAAGAATGTTCAGAAAGTATATATACTGTAGTCAGTCCTGCGTAAAACTGTATCAATCGAAATGGTTAGAAAATTCGTACATAAATTGACTTGATTTTAAACGTTCTCGATGTTCATCAAATTGTTTATACTCTACCATACTTCATGGAAGCTATTATGAGCAATCAATTTCGTTAACCGTCGCCGTATACATCGAGTATTTTAGTAGAACTAATTATAAAAGTAAAATCTAATTTGTTTTAATGTAAGTCTACTAGCGGTTATTTATATATACGTATCTATGAACGGTAGCTGTGAGTCGTCTTCCGAGCAAAGACCAGTCTCGTAAGAGAAGGACGCCAATGATAAAAAAAAAAAAAAAAATTACCTACACTAAAGACACATGTCGCGGCCGGACCGGATATTAAAGCGAGCGCTCCCTTTTCGGGCGGGTTTGCCTTGCGGTTTTTACACAGATTAAGCATCCCGACTGACTTCTACTACAAACGGAGAGGATTGATGAAAATAAAAAAAACCTATATCATTCAAACGTGATCTAGTGCACGGGCCGAACCGAAATCTCGGTTGATTTCATTTTTATCCGGAGGCCAGTTCGAGTTTTGCACGCCGACTTAAGCCACCCACGTTATGGAAGTTCCGGCCGGCTAAAATACAACGCGTATCATATTCACATACACGCCATAATATACATATTATTATACACTGGCCACCAATTCAAAGCCGGTCACACGAACATGCACATATCCAGTTCGTGCACCGGCAGCAGCGATGGCGGCGGCGTCAATTATACATAATATACTCTGCGGCGTGTTCATTAACATACCGAAATACACATAGAGCCACGGTCGGCTAAATTTCAATCGAAGATGATCCCAAAGAGAGAAGATGATGTTATTACATACATACACATAATAAGCCAATTAAAATTTAAACGGTATTTTCTTGTGAGCACGCAACCCTACAACGTTACACGTTATAACAAAACAATATACTTATAATACAATACATGTACACAATTTTAATCGCTTGCATTCCCACTGCGACGCATTGATTTATCTATACAAAGTAATTTTTTTGTTAAAGTGATCCACTCAAAAAGCAGTTTAATCTCATAGCGGCTTAATCAGTCATCGAGTTTTTTCCCCATAGTGTTTTAAACAGCGTGTTCGTAATTTTTTACAATTTTTGAAATTTAAATGTTAATGTAAATTGCAATGCTACCGTTTAATTTCTAGCCGTAACATGTCATAGGGCCCTATCACTGGATAGGTTCCCTACCCAAAGTCTCCAAGTCACATATTTACATTGTTAACATATTTGCTTATTGTATATTTTATGTACAGATTGTAAATGATTAAAAAAAAAAAATAATAAAAATAAAAATAAAAAAATATGTTAATGTGTATTATATTTTATTGACTTTTCAAATTAAGAATAATTTACCGAAAATGTCGACTGATCTATAACTAGTTTTTTGAATATTATTAAAGTTTAAAAGTTACGACAAAAATGGGAAATGCGGTTGAGTAATGCGCGTGGAAAAAAATAGTACTACTCACTACCCTTCCTCTCATTTTAAACTTTAAACATTAATAACTAGGAATTATTTTCTTAAACTGGTTATCGACCAGTCAAAATTCAGTCAGTAAATTATACTTAATTTAACACAAGTTAATGAAATATAATATATTTGATCATTTAAGTTTCACAAGTCAAATAACAATAACTTATTACTTAACTCACATTGTATAAAAACACTAGGGGGAAAAATCAATAACTGATTAAAACCTACAAGATATTGAGTGGATCACTTAAAAAAAACCCATCCTGTTTAATGTAATATAATATATTCTTTTTATAATACGTAAGTAAATATTATTATAAACAAGCGCGGCAGCCAAGGTTCATTAATAAATCTCGAGGCACTAAGCCATCTCTATTCCGTAGTATGTGTATTATGCATACTATTGTTATTTATGTATAGTTTTTTTCTAGAATAATATGATTCACGAGTACACGTGAAAATCTGTGGCTCATCTCGTGGATAAGCGAGTAAATAAATTATATATTTTGCGTTGATAATATTTGAAAACTAGTTTGAATGTAGTGCATTTAATACATTATTTATAATAAATAATGCATATGTATTAGGTTTAGTTAAAAACCAAACCCACGTTAATATAGGTTGCACGCGAATGTATATTTTATCAATGAACGAGTCCGTGAGGAAATAAAATATATCATGTCTAATATTCAATAACGTTATATACATGCACTAATACATTATTTCCTGTACACAGCTTTATTCTCGAATTTAATCAAATCCAGCGACTCTCAAAATGAAGAACGTGGTAAATTTATGTAATTTTGGCAAAATAATATTTCTACATATTACAAGTAATAGCTAATACATACACAACATACTTATTTAATTTATTATGTCAAGTGTATAAATTGCGTACTTCCTATAGGAGCTCTCTCTCTGTTTCCCAGCCAAGTCACCGGGGGTGCCTATATTATACCTACTTTGTTGCAAGTGTATTTGCCTATTTTAAAAAGTATATAATATTTTCATTATTATGTTTTAGCGATCGGAGTTCGATGATTAATCGACCGACACAGCTAAGAAAGCTAGACGCGGTTGCATATAAAACAAATTATGTATACATATATAAGTAGGCTTACGGAATGCATAAATCTTTGGAAAAATATATTTCTGCTGGGACTAACGCCGATTTGTTACACTCATCTTGTGTGTGTATTTGGAAATTAAGGTGTAAACCGAGTAATAAGCCGCCACAAACGTATTATGATGACCGTATCATTGGAACGGCTCGAATATAAAGATATAATAGTAGGTATATAAAAGTTGAAAAACAGACAGTTGCCTGGGGCGTATTGATAACAAGACACATTAATATTATAATATTAATATAAAAATGACTTAAAGGAGATTTCTCCGTAGGGCGTGTTTGTTTTTCGGTCGCCATTTAGGTAATTAACGCGTTTGTTATTTATCAACTGGCGCGCTGCAATAGTATGATAATATGATATTTGCATACCTGATTAATAGATCATTTACGGACAGCCGAGATCCAGGGCAAATGGATGCAGTGTTCGCAACGAGGTCCGCGGTTTACGAATCTGAAATGGTAAAAAAAGAAACACACGGATGAGTTACTCAGCGCAAACAAGTTATGTGTCGTGGGAACATTGTGTACAATATAACGTATACTTATATATGTTAGTGTGTATCTATATATATTATATTTTATCGATGGCCGATCCTGATTCTAATATACGTGACGACGTTTTAATTAGTGATCGTCACACATTAAACAGGCTCCTTTGATTAATGTCTCTCCAGCCTATGCTTTATTAATACGGTACATATAAAACTATAAAATATATTATTCATGATGATGACTTCCGCGGTCGCGTGTACCCATTTCTACACATCGTTTAAACGGATTGTCAGCTGCTGGCTAATTCTAACCCAACAGTTTTATTATATTATCCTATAAAAGCTGTTCGCGTAGGAACTGTGTGTAGTAATAATGTCATCTCATCAGATAAGAGCCGTTTATTGATCCTAAAAATCATGTTGGTCGACAGACATGAAACACCTAAGAGATGCTCCAGTTGAGTTATACTTAATTTGACTTGTATTATATGCAAATCCTGTAGCGTACCTGTAGACAATATAATATAGACCATTTATTTATATATACTAATAATAATTGTAGAGTTACGATAAAATACAGTTGTTACTATGTATTTTTCTTTAGCGTGTCGGCTAGACATGACAGATAACTTACATATATATATATATAATATAATATGGTTATATTCTTGAATAGTTCGAAGCTTGCTATGACTTTTGCTGCGTTCATTAATCCAATAACTTATATTATTTGGTAAAGTAAAGGAATTTGCATCTCGTTTGATCGAATCGAAAGCGGCATAACGGCAGTGAAGAGAATTATAATCGTTAATTTAATTATTTGTTGTTTTTTTTTTTTTTAGTAAAAAAAAGGGTAAATAACAACGACGCAACGCCAGTGAAATTGTTTGTTTTTTTGTATTATGTGTGTGACGAACAGACGACTGCTTTCGCCACCGCTAATGTATAAGAGTTACCAACGTCCACGATCGTCTTTTGTGCATCGCATACAGGTGTATATGTAGGTATACAATAATCGGTCTGATTTTGGAGCAAACCGCGTAGATTTCACTCGATACATTATAGAAAGTCGAAAAAAACGGAAACAAAAATCGTTAATCGACTCAACCGACGCGTGTGTTAGAAAAAAAAAACCAAGTATAGTCACGTATTAAAAGCGTATGTAGGTGTTATCAAGAACAATTCCAGTGATACACGCAGTCAAGAAGATTAACGACGGACACGTTGGATGCTCGAAAAAAATTATATATATATATATATGAATTGGTTAGTAAAACGATAACGGCTGACCTTTTTTTTACGGTGGCACTGTTATAGTATTTTTTGTGGGATCCGCCGTCGCCGTGAGAACCTTAGCCGTTGACGACCGCAGACTGCCAGCGCATAGTATTGTAGTGACTACGGCTGTGTATATTGGCAAACGGTAACCCGTACGTGCCCGATGTATATTTTATGCACCATTAGAACAACAGCGAAAATAATGTCTTCGCTCCGGCCTGTCGTCTTAGCGCGGGTTCTCACAATAATTAGCACCGGGGTATTATAATGTTTAATTATGGTTACAACTGGTTTTCGGTGAAAAAAATTTGCTGCCCGTATCGCAGCTACCGATCGGCCTCGAGCATCTATTTCTCACGGTTTTCGATAAAAATTGGTCAATTCCCAGCGACCCACGTGCAGTGTATACATGGACCGTTTTGCAAGGCTAATCGATTCACATTATGTATTGATATACGTTGTTATGTAGTTATTCCCAAAACTACCACCACGTTTATAGGTAACGCGCGTAAATAAGTAGTTAAGTTTTGCTCGTTAAAACTATGTATATAAAATCATTAAAGTGAGAATATGTATACATATAGTAATATGCAAAATTACATATTATCGAATTTACAAACTTTTATATTTTCCCAGAAAGAATATGTAATTTTTTACAAATAAGTACCGATCTTGCACTGCATTCTATTTTGCCATAATCTTCAGTACAAATGTAACAGTATTGTTTTATTGGATAATGAACTTTTATACATTTTCGAGTTATAATTTATTAACTATTTGGATTTTTATTTAACTTTTTTAACTACTCGTATAACATTTTAATTAATTAAATAACTTAGTTCCATAATCTAATTGAATCAGAGAAGACTTCCTAAGAGGTACATACTGATTTTTCTGATGAATTGAATGCTTACAACTTTTTGAACTGGCAAAAGATTTAATACTTTAACTACTAGTAAAAGCGAATTTTAAAAATTATTCAAAAATAATAACAATTAATTAAATGAAATATTTTGTATTTTGAAAAATTGTATGACTATTATTTTCATACACAAATAGGAACTATCTAAATCAAACAATGTTTTAATCAAGACGATGTAGAATATAATATATGCTATGCCTAGTCTAAAACTTGAAAAAAAGTAGTTTTCATAATTTATTAGTAATTATTATATATAATATATACCTTGTCGTTGACCCTTCGCAGACTATATTTATATACAACAGGTATACCTGCCCAACTTGAAATCGGCACCGGTTTAAGCAATTAATTAATTAATACATGTATGTGTGAGTTTCACACCAATTCACTATTTCGACCAATATTAACACTGAATGTATAAACGCTTATCTACCGATTTTTCTATTGCGAATGCCCAAAGGATTTTGCTAAACGTGTAGATTGTAGATTGTTGATTATGCAACCAAGTATAATAACTGTTCCGATTTTCCTTAAAATTACAATCGCACTGGGTGGTTCGCGGCGTTTGGGCAATATAATCTTGGGTATCTTGCCGCGTATCTATGTGTGTCCACGCGGTGATCCATGTGGGTCACGATACTGAAATGTATATTATTTATAATATATGTACACATGCCTTTTCACCGAAATCATAATAACATGTCTTATATAGTATGCATATATATATATATATATATATATACAGTATACTGTGTGTGTTCTATTCGCTGTGATCTTCGGATGCTAATGTATTTTTCTATCACGAATGTATAATATGTGTGTGAATATTAACTGCTCGCATATAATAATATGTAAGTGTACGTGATCCAATAACAAGAACGCGATGTACGTGAATTGAGGCAGCACTGCTCATTATTCGGTGGTAATAATAATGAAGAAAAAAAATCACCGGTAGTGTATAATATATGCGACGCATCGTTCATATTATTATAGTACAACATGCTCGTAGGAGCTTGTACACGTGTGTTTGACTAATTGATGACGACCGCGAGGCTTCCATAGGCCACGGTATAAGATTTATCGGTTTGCCAATGAGCGCCAGCAGACGTTTAATCGACTCGCATCAATTCTATATTGTCGCTAACTGTGCATAATAATTATTGCTATTACCTATTGATATATCACCATAGTCCGTCGCGTGCAACCGATGGTTAGTATAAGCCATTGAGTATTAACCATTAGGTATAGGTACTCAGTACAACGCAGATACGTTTAGGAATGTATTAAAAGCATTGATTTCGACCATCCGCAATGTAAATAATTATAATATTACATTATGTTATATGTATACTGCTATCTATCTTCGATTCTGTGTAATATGACCTGTTTGTGAAGTTAAGATATTAACGTGTGGTTTCACCTAACCGGTAGGAGCTTATCTACACTGCGTGCGCGTAGAGTAATTAATAATGAAAAAATATTTACAATATTTAACCTATGAATATAAAATATATAAGTATATTGATATTCTAGAAAACGAAAACTGGCCATAATTAATGTCAACGTGTAATGAAGTATGAGGAGAAATAACTATTTGAGAGGCGAAAAAAATGATTTTTAAAATTACTTATAGATAATTTTTGTGTACATTCATTTTGTAGCCGTTTCCTGATTTCCAATGCAAGATACGCCTAGAAGAGGAGTAGCGTATTTAAAACCTGTTAGAGGACGAGTGCTCATAACGAAGCTGTAATATAGTCACCACCGATAGTTGTAGTCTATATAAATTGGTAAATGTGTGTGTGTAAACAATCGGCACTTATCTCTGATACCCTGTCGTGATCCGTAATTATTGCTTGACTTGACCCGTGCTGATAATCGCCCAAGGTCCGCCGCCACTTGACTGCTGTCAAACCAGTGGTGTTTTTAGATGTATCATGTACGCCAATTATTGAGGGACATCTAGTGCAAGTATAACGCCGTGGGGGTATTATATAATACAGTAATATATTATAGTCGCCCAATAATTTACGATTAAGATACGGTATGGTTTTGACGTCTTACAAAGACTTAAACGACCGTGCCCGCGGTATAGTGACTTTAACGCGCAAAATTATTATTATAATATTATAATTTTATTATACTTGAATATTTGTTTGAGTAAACAATTTTGTATGGATTGATTTGCGGTCATAAGTTAGAAACAAAAATTGTTTTTCAACCGCCTGAAAACATTTTATCAATATTATAAAGAATGCGAGTAATATAATATAATATTGGGTGTATCATGATGGGCGGAGTACAGTTTTAGTTTAGTTTCTACGTACATTTGTTCTGGTGATAGACTCTGTACATGGAAATTTAATTAGTTTAACTTGTTTTTTCAAAACACGGATAGAAATTGCAGTGTTGCAAAGTTACACTGCAGGAAAACCAGCTTTTGAAACACGTATTTTTTTAATAAGTAATTAAATTAAAACACTCGGTTTGGAAATTTATATGTTTTTATCTACTTTTTACAAGATTATTCATCTGCATTTATCGTCATAAAAAATAATTAGGAGATAATTATTATATGATTTCCTACTATAGTTTAATTTAAACCACATTTATTACTAAAATAGAATAAATGTAAAAAACATACCTACTTACGATTCTCTAGCTTAGAAAAATACTAAAATACTAACCTATATCTATGTATATTATATTATATACATATTTGGTTGATATAAATGTATAATGTTTATACTGTGTTCGAAA